GGAAATATATAATTTAAGGATATAGCTCATAAATTTTGCCTAACGTGGCGTTGTTCAATTAGGACAAGTGGTGTCGATATGTCGGTCCATCGGATTTGAACTTTACCGTTGGTCATCATAAAAGAAGCATCTCTCGTGTACCTGATGAAGTTGAAGTCAAGATCACAAGATGGGGCTGATGTTTGAACTTTTAGAATGGTGAAAATATCCCATTTCAAATAAGAGAAGTACTCATGTTTTCTTCCTCGTTCTGCTTGGACCACCATGAAAATGCTACGAGTCTCTGAATTTGGGAACCATAACATGCTTAAACTGAAGTTTTTTTTGTCTGTTGGTAGGGTGTAATAAGATGGAAACCATTGTTGATGGAGATATAGTAGACCTTGATTGTAATTTATTTTACATCATAGAGACCCAATTGAAATGAAATTTAAGTTACAGGGATCAAAATGAAAGATGAAAAAAACTCAAATACCAGCATTTGTAAGGTTCCAAATATTGGAGTACTTGTGAATACACAAATGACTCGTAAAAAGTGTAAACTAGCGTAAGTGATCTTCATAAAATTAGGGCTCAACAATAATCTTGCCAGTGGCATGACCATCACTGCTCTTGGCCCAAGCCTCTCCTACGTTACTCAGAGGATACTTGGAATCAATAACTGGCTTAAGCTTCCCTTCTTTCACCAACTTGACAAGGAACTCGAGGTTCTCTTTCTTGGGTGCGGTAAACACGGTTGAGATCTGCTGCTTCGAGAATGTGAGCTTTTTCAGAGCAATACTCATCATGATACCAAGACCAGGAGTGGTGTCTACTACTTTAGCATTGGGAGTCAAGCTATCCTGGAAGGTAGACCAAGGAGTGCTGGTCGTACAGTGGATGACCGTGTCGTATTTACGACCGGAAGGGCTCTTCGCAACCTTCCCATTGGTGGTCTTGTAGTCGATAACCTCATCGGCTCCCAGACTCTTGATTAAATCCAGGTTACGAGCCCCACAGGTGGCGGTCACGTGTGCATTTGCAAGCTTTGCTAATTGGACTACATATGTACCTACACCACCTGAAGCTGCGGTAACCAGGAGGTTTATTTTAGGGTCGGTTCCGTCGAGTTTGAGCCCTGCATTCTGGGTGAGTGACTGGTGAGCTGCGAGGCCAGCGATGGGCAAAGCTGCAGCTTCGGCGGCAGATACCTCTGGAGGCCTTGAAACTGTGGAAGCCTCCTTAGCCACGGCGAATTCAGCTAGTGCACCTCCGTTCTGTCATTTTGCAAAATACATTCATTTAATATTACGGAAGGTGCCTCTTGTCATGGACAAAACAAGTTAAAAACTAGAATGAAGACTTACACCAAGTGCGGTGACAACTTTATCCCCAGCTTTGAAACTCTTGACCTCTGATCCAACCTGCACGATTTCTCCAGCTGCATCGATGCCTGCTCCAACAAATAGTTCTTAAGCCAAATATTCCAAGAATGAAAACAACAAGCAATGCCAAAGCTCAATAGCAAAGTATAAGTACCAGGAACGTGGGGGAACTTGCGAGGCAAAAATGGCCGCGCATATCCACTCTGCAATCTCCAGTCGATGGGGTTAATACTAGCTGCCTCTACTTTGATCAAAACTTCGTCTTTTCCTGGGGTGGGAACCGGCACTTCAACAACCTGCAACGGGCATCAAATTCACAGTGGTTATCAATGTTTTCCATGTCTCACCAAAATGCACGCAAATTCATCGGAAGTAAAAGTTTGAAAAAATGAAGCCATCAAGTTTTAAACGGCTGCAAGAACAAGGAAACAAATTCTAAGGGATTGATCAAAAAGATGTGATGCCTTGCCCAATATCCATGAATTTCAAACATTAGCTTTCGTTTTCTTTAAAATTATAACTAATTGGATGAATAGAATAGAATCAACTGATGAATTGAAGAATAATAAATTTGATATCCAAATTATTTGAGTTTCTTCCATGTTACCGATGAGTTTTGACTCGAAACTAAAAGAAAACGAACTTCATATTTACAAGCAATCAAAATCCTAAAGAAATCAGGGAATTTTTCTACTTTCTAAAAAACACGAGTAACTGAAGAGAAAAAATAAAAGAAGGAAGTAGATTACCTTCAAATCGGCGACTCCTCCGCCATATTTACTGTATTGAGTGGCACGCATCAGATTGCTGGCCATTATTTCAAAATTTTGCAATAGAAAATGAAAACCGAAGCTCTTTTTTCAAGTTTGTGGGAAGACAAAATCAAGATTAATATGAGGGAAAAAGGATCCGATGCTGCTAATGGCGTCAGATACTTTGAATTTATAGAGATGTACAGAATTCTTCCCCACCTAAAAGTAATAATTGACTGCTTTACGTAAATAAATAAATAAATATTCGATTGCTTGCAAGGACCATTCCTCAGCGTTTTTTTCTTCAAAAAGTTGAAAAATTACGTTTCAAACTTTTGGGGTTAAAGATCATTTTCTGAACCAAAACTCCCTAAAACACCATACAAGAAAACCAAAATCTAAACCAATATTTTTTAGATATTTAATTTATTAATCAATTAATCCGGATCGAGTATTGTTAAAGCAAGAATAGCTCTTTAAACCCATATTTTTCAATTCGTAATCGTTAAGATTCAAACCATTGACCTCGTTTAAGAAATCTAGTGTCTCATTCCACTAGACTAACGAATAAATGGTCTAAACGAATATATGTTAAACTATAAAGGTATTTTGATTTATTTGATTCAATGTAATATTCATGTAACCATTTTTTCAAAATGTTTTATAAATGTAATATTTCAATCTTTTATCTAATTTATCAAAATTAGTGTAGTTTTCATTAAAAAAATGTGGAAGTGATATTGATCTTCCAGAAGCATTGAATTTTAATTGTCTAACTAGACTTAAATTGTTGTTAGATTTTTATTTAATTATTACAAGAAAGGAAAATTAAATCTTTATTATATATTCAGCCGGCAAAGGAGAATATATTATCTTCATTTCCCGGTCTGGCAGCTATTTCTTTATTAAATAAATTGGAAAGTCAAGTTGGTTCAATTTTCTATTCTTCCATACAAATTGGTTCAATTTTCTATTCTTCCATACAAATTGGTTCCTGATGCGACAAAAAGCTAGATAATTAATTTTTATTTCTCATTATCGATTAGTTATAGGGATGGCAATGGGTCGGGTCGGGTTTTTGGGCCACCCGACCTGACCCGAGAAGAAAGGGTCCTCCACCCGTGACCTGATCCGACGAAATTAAGGTTTCACCTAATCCGATCCGAATACATGACTTAGAAATCCGACCCGACCCGACCCAAAATAATAAAAAAAATATTTTTATTCAATAAAAACAGTGACTTAATTGAAAAAAATTATATATAGAGGGGTATTATTGTAATTATCCCTACATATATAGGGTAAAATTATATATATATTTTTCGGGTCGGGTCGAATTTTTTCCATACTAAACCCGACCCGACCCGAACAGTGCATAAAAACCCCGACCATACCCTGATTTTTTTTTTTAAAAATCCGATCCGATCGGGTCGGGTCGAAACCTGTCGGTTTCGGGTTGAGTTGCCATCCCTAATTAGTTCTTAGTCTAAATTCATTGAATGTTAAAGTTATTGTAGAGTCTACGGTTATGATTATAAGATATTATTCTATTGAGTCTTTGATTACCAAAAATTATAAAAATAATATCTCGATTATAGGATTTTGTTTTGTTGATAGAGGTAGCAATCAGGTGGGGGAAATGGAAAACCGTGGGATCCAAACCGATAGGGATGGAGAATAACCGAAATCTTCACCCACGGAGGATGGAAAAGTTTTATCCCTGGAACTTAAATGGGGATGGGGATTGCTATATTCAAACCGTGTGGATAATCGATAATTTTATTATTTATTTATTTTAAAATATTATATAATTTATAATAATTTTAGTTACAATATATTATGTTATATTAATGTAGATTTTAATTAAAAATGTTACTTTATCATTTTAAAAAATTATAAAAATGGTAATAATTTATGTTAGACCAATAATGTTACTTAGACTATAGTTATATTATAAAATTTTAAAAAATAATTAAATTATAATTATAGGGATTTAGAAAAATGTAAAATGAAATTGAATGTATAGCTTAATATAATGTATGTCAGTACAATGTAGTATATGTTCAAAAATAAACTCTCAACCTTTCGACATTGATCACTTATACCCCTAAAATCTATGGTGCTCAAACCCAGGATCCTAAGAAATAACAACAATTTCTTTACCACGGATGCCATTTGAAGTCAGTGATAATTATTAGGCGAGTTTGATTTGATTATAGTTTTATGTTAATCTATATGGATTAAATTAAAAGAAAAATTAAATTATATAAACTAAGATAAAAATTTCAATTTTTTAATAATATTACATGCATTACATCCTAACAAATAATGATGTATTTATTTCATAAAAGAATTAAATTTTTAGTCTTGATGAACTAAAAAAAATAAAGTTAAGATTTAAAATTAAGAATAAAAAATTTAAAGTTAAAGGTTAAAAGGATATTTTTCAGAAAGAAAATAGTTACAAGTTATCTCTTACCAACACATAGATCTTGATAATTTATGTGGACTAAAAAAATTTATCCCAATCAAACGCTTAATCACAAAGTCAAGTCCTTTCAACATTCAAAACCAGAATTTAATTCTCACAAATACAAAGGACTGATTTATGAAAAATTCTATATTAGTCTCCAAAACTTCTATCTACTTATATTTTGATCCTAAAGTAATAAAAAAATGAAAGTAAAACCACCCTAAGTTTCTGGACACTTTATATAATACTATTCATTCATCATGTTTTCCTAAATAATTTTTCACAACCCTCATTTCTCTAATTTTTCTAACATCATTAATTCATCAATTAACCCTCTTAACATCAAACATATTTTAAATATCCATAGGATTCTCTGTAATTCGAATTTTAAAAATTCTATAACAAATATTGTGCTCATTAACATTACATTTCACAAAACATTGTTTACATTACAAGCAAGACGAGAAATATAAACAAACAAACAACTTGCACACCAAGGCAACCTTTTGGGTAGTTGTGAAGTATGCAAAGGACTCATAAGCAACCCAAATCAGTTACAAAATAATGAAAGTAGTATTCATAAACTAGGGCTCCACAAGAATCTTGCCAGTGGCATGGCCATCCATGCTCTTGCCCCAAGCCTCTCCAGCCTTACTCAGAGGATGCCTTGAATCAATTACTGGCTTAAGCTTTCCTGCTTTCACCAACTTCACAAGATAATCCAGGTTCTCTTTCTTAGGATCCGTAAACACCAGAATGAGCTGCTTCTTGGAGCACGTAATCTTTTTGGCAGCAGCACTCATCATAGTACCAAAAGCAGGAGTAGTATCTACTACCTTTCCTTTTGGAGTCAGGTTAGCCGCGAAGGTAGACCAGGGAATGTTGGTTGTACAGTGGATGATTATGTCGTATTTTCGACCTGATGGGCTCTTCAGGGCCTTTCCTTCTGTAGTCTTGTAGTCAAGAACCTCGTCGGCCCCCAGACTCCTGATTAAATCCATGTTACGAGCCCCGCAAGTGGCTGTCACATGTGCGTTTGCTAGCTTTGCGAGCTGAACTGCGTATGTTCCTACACCGCCTGAAGCTGCGGTAACAAGGACGTTTACTTGCGGGCTGCTTCCGTCGAGTTTGAGGCCGGCGTGCTGTGTGATTGACTGGTGAGCTGCGAGGCCGGCAATCGGCAGAGCTGCAGCTTCGAGGGCGGATACCTCTGGAGGCCTTGGAACAGTGGAACCCTCCTTGGCCACGGCGAATTCAGCTAGTGCACCTCCGTTCTGTCATACAATCATATAATAAGATTAGTGGGTTGCTAGTTGGCTAGTTGCTGCTATACAATTTGTATCCAAAAGAATGAGTACGCTTACACCAAGTACGGCAACGACTTTATCGCCGGCTTTGAAACGTTTGACTTCTGATCCAACCTGTACGATTTCACCTGCAACATCCGTACCAGGAATGTGGGGGAATTTGCGTGGTAAAAAAGGGCGGGCTATCCCGTTCTGGATCTTCCAGTCGATGGGGTTAATGCTAGCCGCCTCTACTTTGATCAAAACTTCATCCTTTTTCGGACTGGGAATCGGAGCTTCAACATGCTGCAACAGGCATCAAATTCACAGCCATTAGAAAAAACAGTTCACCAACAATATTTACTTTAAACAAGAGGGGAAAAATGATTTGAAAAGAACAAGTAGACTACCTTCAAACCGTCGACTCCTCCGCCATATTTACTGTACTGAACGGCATCGATCTGATTCTCTTTGGTTGAGTTTGAATTTTCTTTTAACTTTTTATACAATTTATTTTAATATGGAGTATTATATTAGTTTTAAATTTATCATCAAAAGTGATTATTTTTTTTTAGAAATTTTAAGTTCGAATAGTTATATTTTCAAGTTATGTATGTTATCGGTGAGTAAAAACGATTTTAAACAGATATTACTCTGGAATGATTATTTGAAATATAAAATATTTAATAAAATATTTATTTTTATATTATAAAAATAAATATAATTTAACTAAAAAACAATATTCCATTTAATCTGAATCATTATAATTTTTAAAATTACAAAATATTAATTATCCTATTAAAATAATTTGAGTCAGATTTCAATTTATTCTCGAGGCCAAGAAGCGAAAGAAAATTCTTTATACCTACATTGCCAATGCCAGGTGTGGCGGTTGGTAGTAGTTATATTGTACGGTAGCTTTAATATACGGTTAAGAAAAAATCTTATTAGAAATATTAATATTTTTTTAATATTTATGGTAAAGTGATACTTAAAACATTATTTTTTTACCATAAATGTTAATTTCGCTACCTAATTTTCGGTAGAAAAAATAATATTTTAGGTAGCGTCCAATATTAACATTTTCAGTAGAAAAAATAATAATATTTTAAGTAACATTTTACTAAAAATGTTAAAAAAATATTAATATTTTTGATATCATCTTTTCTTAATCTTATATTAAGATTATCGTACCTATGACGGCTGTTTCTTTTGAAATTCATATATTAAAAGTCAATTTGGTTGTTCAAATTGGTTCCTGATGCGACATAAAACTAAAATGAGTACTATTTATTATATGAATTAAGGAATAGATAGATATAAATGAAACTCAATCTTATCGCCTAGAATCAAAGAAAAAGGCACCCGACAAATTGGTTCGCATACTGATAAATTACATTGTTCATCATTAAACTTTTTAATATAATTTTTTTTACAGATTCTAGGGACTAAGATTGTAGTTAATCTACTTTATTTTAAAGATGAACCACACAAATAGTCACTTTGGTTTTAAGGATAAATTACTAAGAATGGATCTTTTAGTAAATCTAAAATAATACAATGATAAAATATCAATTTACCCCCTTTTTTTCATATATTTTCTTCCCCAATCCTATCTTCTCCTTCGCGCCGCTTCCCCTGTTTCCATATATTTTTCAAATGTTTTCAGACTGAAGTTGATTATCTCGAGCAACTTCATCACCCAAATCTAATTAAGTTGATTGGATATTGTTCGGAGGGAGAGAACCGTCTTTTGGTCTACGAGTTCATGCCTAAAGGAAGCTTAGAGAATCATCTTTTTACAAGTAGTATCACAAGCTTTGATTTTCTTTCAGGGAATCATTTTTTTGAAAGTATTATGTCCATGAACTGATAAAGCAATTTGGAATCCAATTTTGTGATTGTTCTCCGGAGACAATCCTCACCCTCAAATGGTCGCTACGAAAACTTAAAAAGGGAATTCAAAAGTTTTCCTTTTTTAATATCTTAGTTTCAAGGAGAATAAAAGAATTTAGAATTTGAAAATATTCTGTTTCGTTTTCACTTTAGCAGCATGCATATTCTGAAGGTATAAAGCTACACGGATAAAATTTATAAATATTCACGAGTCTGAAAAATGGTTGCTCACCACACACTATTGCGTCTTAAACAACTGAACGATGGAGCATTTGTATATATTGGAACTACCAAGTTTCTATTTTTTTTTTTTTTGATGCTATATCTTGTTATACTGGAGGGCGACAGCCACTATCTTGGGCGGTGAGGCTCAAGGTTGTCAAAGGTTTAGAGATGAAACAGGGGAAGCAACGCGGTGGAGAAGATAGGCTTTGGGGGAACATATAAAGAAAAGGGGTAAATTAATATTTTATTTCTGAATTGTTTTAAGTTTACAAAAATATCCATAATTAATAATTTATCTTTAAAATAAAAGTGACAATTTATGTAGTTTACATTAAAAAAATAGTTAACTATAGCCTTAGTCTTGAAGTCTCTAAAGTTTCGAAACTGAAAATTTTTAGAGTTTAGTGACCAAAATAGAAGAGAAGAATATAGTTGGGTGATGAATAATATAATTTACTCAATTTACAACTGCAAGAATTAACGGAATCGTTGGTCAATAATGAAAACGTTGGTCAAATGACCACATCGAGTTTTTATTTCTAGTTGGAAGACTACATTGATCCAAAAAATAGGATGAGGTTCATATTAATTTTTTATATATATAAAATTTAGAGACCTATGTTTCTTTTTTGCCAAAACAGTAATTACATTGTGAACTTAAGATCTATATTATTTTTGCTCGATCCAAACATAAAATATTCATTATTGTTATACTTCATCAAAGATTCTCTACCTACCAATTTTGTATCTAAATATTTCTTTTAGGATATATAATATTTTTAAGGAAAATTTTATAATGTTTGACGATCATAGTTGAGTACTGCTAAGGATGAGTACCGCTGAATATCATTAATTTAATTTATAAAAATTTAGAATTCTAAAAGACTAAACATATAATTATAAATTAATTAAAAATTTAAACATAAATTATTTTGAATAAAATATTAATTACATTATTTTTTATAATATTTGTTTAATAATTTTTTAAAGATAAATTATAAATTTCTTCATTATTAAAAAATATTATTCGTGATGATCTTAAGCTTAATACAATTTTCAAGAATCGCTATAAAATATTTTAACTGGAAATAAGAGAAGGGATACAACCAAGATAAAACATTGACACATGTTGCGATTCTTTGTCCAAATAAAAAAAAAAGATAAACTGTCTATATTCGATTAATAAATATTAAATTTTATTACATCATGATTTAAATGGGAAATGTTTTCTATAAAAAATAGAAATTTTGAATAAAATAATATATATTATATATATTTTTATTAGCTTTGTGTCCGATTCGCGGTTGCAAGGAAAGTTCCAACTGGAAGAATGCGAAGACTAATTTCGCATGGGAAGAAGGGTGGTTAGGGATAAGATTGAGATTACAATTCAGTGGATCCATGCCCAACAATTGTGAACTGATGAATTTTGAGCAGCAGAGTTTGATTAAGGTGAATGATAAGCGGAGTCTTTTTTTTTTTTTTTGATAATCCATTTCATTAACCAAGAAAACAGAAACCTGCTACAAAATCACCGGTTTATACATTAACCATACAAATGACTTTAGCTATACTATCAGGCTATAAAACAAGAACCACTTGTACATCAACGCTACTAAATGCCCCAGCTTACACAAAGGCCAACATTCCTTGAGTCTATCCTGCTAAAAGACCAGCCAGTCAATCGAGTCTGGACGGAGTCTCTGATATCCTCCAGCATGTCGCCCATCGACCTAGCCTTGCCTTCAAACAATCTGTTGTTCCTTTCCTTCCAGATGCTGTACACATACCCAATCAACGCTAGCTTAAGCACTCGCACGATGAGTGATCTACCCTTGAAGCAGTGGATAACCCAAGCCAACTCGCCATTCCAGCTACTCACGCTGCGGTTGATAAGCGGACTTTTGTGAGACAAAAAGAGACCATTTTAAGAGTCTAGCAAATGTAAAATTCCAGGTATCATATATGAATTCAAGTACGGATTTAATGGAATGGGTCTTTAAATTTTTTAAATAATATTAATATTTAAATTTAAACACAAATATAAATTAAATTGAATTTGAAATATAATTTGATAATAAAGTATTTAATTTAAATTTATCGAGAATTCATATAGTAATTATTATAAAAGAAATTCAATAATTGAGAATAAACTCAAGGTTATTAAGACAACAGAATCTAATTATCCATAAGATCATCTAGAATTTAAACAAGAAATTATAAATTTCATAAGAAAACAGAGTACCAAATAACAGAACCTCCCATCCAACAATGTTTAAATTACATGTAAAAGAAAAGACAGACAAAACTCACTACATTTGCACTGTACAAATACAAAGTACTTGAGACATATACAAATGGCTCATCACAAGCAACCCAAATCACTTTAAAAAAAAAAAGTATAAAAGAAATAGTGTAAATTATGAAGCAATGTTCATAAACTAGAGCTCCACAAGAATCTTGCCAGTGGCATGGCCGTCAATGCTCTTGCCCCAAGCTTCTCCAGCCTTACTTAGAGGATACTTTGAATCAATTACCGGCTTAAGCTTTCCTGCTTTCACCAACTTCACAAGATAATCCAGGTTCTCTTTCTTAGGATCCGTAAACACCAGAAGGAGCAGCTTCTTGGAGCATGTAATCTTTTTGGCAGCAGCACTCATCAGAGGACCAAAAGCAGGAGTAGTATCTACCACCTTTCCTTTTGGAGTCAGGTTAGCCGCGAAGGTAGACCAGGGAATGTTGGTTGTAAAGTGGATGATTATGTCGTATTTTCGACCGGATGGGCACTTCAGGGCCTTTCCTTCTGGAGTATTGTAGTCCAGAACCTCGTCGGCCCCCAGGCTCCTGATTAAATCCATGTTACGAGCCCGGCAAGTGGCTGTCACATGTGCGTTTGCTAGCTTTGCGAGCTGAACCGCATATGTTCCTACACAGCCTGAAGCGGCGGTAACAAGGAAGTTTACTTGCGGGCCGCTTCTGTCAAGTTTGAGGCCGGCGTGCTGTGTGATTGACTGGTGAGCTGCGAGGCCAGCAATATGCAGAGCTGCAGCTTCGAGGGCGGATACCTCCGTAGGCCTTGGAACTGTGGAACCCTCCTTGGCCATAGCAAATTCAGCTAGTGCACCTCCGTTCTGTCATACATTCATATAATAATATTAGTGGCATTCTACTATACAATTTGTACCCAAAAGAATACATGCTTACACCAAGTACGGCAACGACTTTATCGCCGGCTCTGAAACGCTTGACTTCTGATCCAACCTGTACGATTTCTCCTGCAACATCAGTACCAGGAATGTGGGGGAATTTGCGTGGTAAAAATGGGCGGGCTATCCCGTTCTGTATTTTCCAGTCGATGGGGTTAATGCTAGCTGCCTCTACTTTGATCAAAACTTCATTCTTTTTCGGACCGGGAATCGGAGCTTCAACATGCATCAAATTCACAGACATTAGAAAAACAGGTCACCAGCTATTGGTTTCTAAAGTTTATAAAAAATCTAGTAAATGTAAAAGAAGAAAAAAATGAAAGAAGCAAGTAGATTACCTTCAAACCGTCGACTCCTCCGCCATATTTACTGTATTGAACTGCACGCATCAGATTGTTAGCCATTTTTTAAAAAAAAAATCAAAGGGAAAAAGAAATGCGAAGCTGTTTTTGAAGTTGGTGGCAATGCGAAATCAACAATAGAATCTGAGAAAGAAGAGGGAAGAATTAAGAAATGGAATTGGATGGTATTGTTTTGGCGTCAGATTCTTTGAATTTATAGTAAAGTAATCCACACATGAATGAATCTGTCTCTCTGTCAATCCGAACCAAATAATTGACAGCGCGTTGGTATGGATGGAACCCAAGGTGATGTTCTGGAAAACATCGAATTTTTACTTGTGTTTCACGTTTATTTCGACCTGACACGTTTATCTTTATCATTGTGACATTTTTTTTCTATCGTTTGTCTGTTCTTTTATTTATGTTTTCTCATAGTTAGATTTGATGATATCACGACTGATCAAGATGGCGCCTATTTGAAATCTTGTTGATTTTCCCTGCTATAGACCTTCAGATTGAATTTGGATGTGTGATTTTACGTTTGTAGATAATTTTTCACGACGTTTGACTCGATTTGCAGTTTTTTTTATTGTCTTTTAATAGCTTAATTCTTTTTTGTGGTTTGTTTGGCAATGCAATCAGATTTATTCGTATATATTTTTGTTTGAGTCTTTTGGTTGAGTTTTTAACCTTTTCGAAGTATGATCCCTATATGATCTAAAGTGACTAGTTGGAATGTTACAGGAAAAGTCTAAATTATGTTTTTAGTCTATGATGATAGTTGTAAACTCTTATTATAATTTCGAATATTTTCACTTTTTAATAATATTAGCTGCTTATAATATAAAAAATAGATATATTATATCCTAATAAAAAAATATTGATATTTGTTCCATTTCATTTTCTTATCTTGTATTATACATTTAATAAAAGAGTTAATTCACATAATATGTCCCCAAACTATACCCTTATTTTAAATTGTCCCTTAAATTTTTTAATATTCCAATTTTATCCCCTAACTATGACTTTCATTCTAACTCAATCCTTAAACTTTAAAACAAACTAATTCTATCCATAAACTATGACTCTCATTTTAAACTGGTCTTCAAACTTTTGAATTTTTCAATTTCATCCCCAAATCCATCCAAATATGTAATTAGTTTCAACCCTTGGTTAATCTAATTTTTTTAAACATATAATGATATAACTTGGCCTAACGATTTTATTAACAATGGATGTGATTAGTAAATACGTATAGTTTGGGATGAAATTGGAATATTAAAAAAAAATTGGGGACAAATTTGGAATGAAAGTTATAGTTTGGGGATGAAATTGAAATGTTCAAAGTTTGAGGACTAATCTAGAACAATAATAATAGTTAAAGGGTGAAATTGGAATATTTAAAAGCATAGGGACCATTTTAGAATGATGGTCATACTTTGAGGATATATGATGGAAATAACTTTTAATAAAATGGATTTATTGTTACCTTGAGAAACTGATGACGTTTATATTATACATTTATTTTCTTATCTTGGCGATGTTCCATTGACAAGAGAGCAGGCAATTTCCAAGTAATTTCCAGAGCTACAACAACGTAATTATCTCCTTCGGTACATTAAACGTCGCTAGTGGCTTTTACCGTAACACATATTTTATTCAGAAACATCGAAAAGTAAATCACTCAAAAATAAGTTCACCAATCATCTTTTATGAGCGATCCAACCATGAAAATACATTTAAAGGTTTTCCAACGTACATAATAAAGACTCATCACGTGGTAGTGCAGTGCTAGACAACAACAGGAAGCTCCGAGGGACAGTTGTTCCTGATGGCGGTGAGGTTGTAGGGTGAGGTGTCGAGCGCCAACCATTGCTCCACCGTGAACTGCTGCTGGCTACAAGGGGAATGGACGCCGGCGACGGTGACCTCCACGTAGTTACAGTACCATCCATGGCCTGGACCCGACCCATCCGAGGTTAAGTTCATGGAACACACAGGGGAAGGCAAGCAACGTCCCCTACCCGAGAAGATGTCCAGATTGCCCCTCTCGAAATAGTTGTGCTCTGGCCCCATTAACCCGCCCCAGGTTTCGAGGTTGCTGATCTCGATGAACTCGCCGAAGCCGTCTTGGAGTTTTAAACTGATGATGGAGTCGGTCCCGCCTTTGATTATTGATCCAGTTCTTATGTAGAGCGAATAAACGCAATCTTCTTCATCCTGCATGCAACAGATAAAGGGGTTAGAGATGGAGATTTGGAGGGAGTTATCGGCACTTTCGAGGGGTACTTACGGCGAGTGCGACGATGGAGAGAGATAAGAGGAGGACGAAGGAGAGTTTCAGCTGCGTTGGGATCGCCATTTTTTTAAGCTCCTGCTAAAGAAAATTATACTTGGTGTGTATGAACGGGAGTAGATGGATCCAAATCAATGTTACCATCGAAATATAATGCCACGTATATGATTTTTTAGGATAAACTATGTCAATACCATTGAACTTTATGTGATATTATTTTATTTCATTTATCTTTTAATTATTTTAATTATGACACTAAATTTTAATTTTGACTTCAAATATTTCACTAAGCCGTTAAATTTTAATGACACGAATACATGGACTAATCTTTCTATCATTGTAAAGACAAAGACAAAACGGTCTCATTTTGATGTGGGTATTAATGCCTAAAACAAAGTCGTTTTAAACATTAAATTTTAGTTATGTATCAATTTTACTACTAAACTTATAAAAAGATTCAATTTTAGTCACTAAACCTTTTCAGCCATCATTGGTAATCAATAGAATTTGTCAACAATAGTCCCTTACAAAAAGATTGATATCAAAACATTCACATTTAATTCTTTTTTTTCCCTTAGTATTGGTTCACATTTCAATCTTGCTTTCATATTCTATCGTCTCCTGTTTTTGTTCACTTTACAGAATCTATGTTGCAATACATTTTCTTCAAGAGACCAGAAAGATAATTAAATACATACATATATATTTCGTAACAAAACAAAGTATTCAACAGCATTACATCTCAGACAACATTGTTCACATGCAAAAGACAAGAAAGATTAAAGAAAAAAAAATATCACACACCAACACTTATGTTGTTCAGAACACCGAGTACCTGTGAATATACAAATGGTTCATTAGCAACTCCACACACAGAAAACTTAACCATGCTAGTGTATCATAATCTAGGGCTCCACAAGAATCTTGCCGGTGGCATGACCCTCAATGCTCTTGGCATAAGCCTCTTCAGCCTTACTTAAAGGATGAGTTGAATCGATTACCGACTTAAGCTTTCCTGCTTGCATCAACTTAACAAGATAATCGAGGTTCTCTTGCTTAACTGCAGTAAACAGGGTTAGCAGCTGCTTCTTCGCAAATGTAATCTTTTTCGCAGCAACACTCATCAGAGTCCCAAAACCAGGAGTGGTATCTACTACCTTTCCTTTTGGAGTGAGGTTAGCCTCAAAGGTAGACCAAGGGATGTTGGCTGTACAGTGGATGATTATGTCGTATTTGCAACCGGATGGGCTCTTCAGAGCCTTTCCTTCAGGAGTCTTGTAGTCCAGAACCTCATCAGCCCCCAGGCTCCTGACTAATTCCATGTTACGAGCCCCACAAGTGGCTGTCACGTGTGCGTTTGCAAGCTTTGCCAGTTGAACCGCATATGTACCAACGCCGCCTGAAGCAGCAGTAATCAGGACATTCACTGGAGGGCCGCTTCCATCGAGTTTAAGGCCAGCAAGCTTGGTGAGTGACTGGTGAGCTGCGAGGCCAGCAGTTGGCAAAGCCGCGGCATCAGCTGAGGATACCTCTGGAGGCCTTAGAACTGTCGAATCCTTATGAGCCACAGCGAATTCAGCTAGTGCACCTCCAGTCTGTTATTGCAAAATGCATTCATAATATTAAAGTTGTATACCTTGAACCAAGAAACTGTTCAGTGTAACATCAAACATACATATGTTTCCCACATGCAATTCTCGTATAGGCTCACAATTTAAGAAGTTAAGTTATTCTATCTCGAAGAAAAAACATCCCAAGGTCAGCAACAAAACTTTCAATGTATTCGATTCATTAAAACAGGAAAGCAAGGCGATCGACTATTAATTGCTTGAGCTGAGACCTAAAACACAAATGCCATCAACTATTATCCAAAATTTTATCAATTATGGTAGCATGTTTCTTCCACCTCTTTCCCCAAGCAGCAGAAATCTCCCATTTCTAGTTATTCACCGAAAAGTTAGTGGCATGCTAGCGTACAATTTGTATCCAAAAATACACAATCATTCACATTAGTAAGATATGAATGTGTTTATTGAAGAAGAAAACCCGGAAGATGGATGAAAATTTGAACAAGTAAAATAAATAAATTACAGAAGAATAAGAGTGACTACTTACACCAAGTACGACAACTACTTTATCCCCAGCATTGCAATTGTTCACTCCTGCTCCAACCTGTACGATTTCTCCCGCAACATCAGTACCAGGAATGTGGGGGAATTTGCGTGGTAAAAACGGGCGGGCTATCCCGTTCTGTAATTTCCAGTCGATTGGGTTAATGCTAGCCGCCTCTACTTTGATCAAAACTTCATCCTTCTTTGGACTGGGAATCGGGACTTCAACATGCTGCAACAGGCATCAAATTCACAACAGTTAAACAGTTCACCGGTTTCAAGTCAAGTTTAACGCTGTTGCAAGAACTGGGAAACAAATTCAAAGCTCTGGCCATGCGAATAGCTATCATCTGTTTCCGTACGAATGGAATCGATGAGTTGAAGAATATTCAAATTACTTTAGTTTCTTTTTTTTCACGTCAGTGAAGGAATCGATTGACAACAAAAATTCACATCTAGATTTCACTTGGAATCAAAATCCTAAACAAAACAATAAAGAAAATAACGGAATAAATATATAGATCGGAATCTCTATCCCGAGTCTGAGAAGAGCGGTAACCGATGACCGCAACGGTGAGCCCTGAGGGCAGACACGTGTAATCACCCTAGCCTAATCAAAAATTGATTCTTATTTGCTCAAAATTAAAGTCTACGGTCCAAATTTAATTAACTCCCTTCACCCCTCTCTATATCCATACAAGCCTACACAAGGACTAAATAAAACAAAAATTTAATTAAAATCTCCATTTAAATCATGAAAAAAAACCCTCTATATTTCCTTTTATTCGAACTTTCTAACTCTAAAAAATCACTAATGAAATAATAATAATAATAATAATAATAATAATAATAATAAAATCAAAGGATCAATTGAGATTACCTTCAAATCGGCGACTCCTCCACCATATTTACTGTACTGAACAGCACGCATCAGATTCACAGCCATCTTCTTCAAGTTCGTCGGAAGGCAAAGATCTAAGAATAATATCAGAGAGAGAGAGAGAGAGAGAGAGAGAGAACCGGATAAGGATCGGGCGCTGTAACCGGATGGTCTAGTTTGGCGTCAGATACTTTGAATTTATAGTAAAGTAATCAACACACGAAATATTTGAAAACTTTCATTCAAATCCAAATCGACACAATTGCTTGCGTCTGGATGTGATGTTCTAGAAGATGTTGAATTTGTATGAGTAAAGGAAAATGAATACAGTCAGAATAATAATATTTTTCTATGAATTGCTTCAATAATTTATTTGCCGAATGAAATTAGACTTGGATTGTTACATTGTTAGCCTTCTTCCCCGTTTAATTCTTACAATAAATAATTATCAATCTATTTTTATATCATTATCTCCGTGTCTGGTTGCTATTCTTTTTTTAAAAAATAAATTATTTATTAACATGATATCATGCAATGTAAGATTTTAAATATAAACCAGTGCTTATTATAAATTGATGTATAAAAACCTCATTTTAAGAATAAAATGATATTTCATTTTTGCTTTGATTAAGGCGTCAAGTACAATCCAAGCTTAATTGACTGCTTTTTTTAATTAAATATTCCTATCCAATGTTGATTGTCAAGGTGTTCGAATTGAAAACTTGGATGACATTTTATTAATTCATAACTTAATGAAGTTGGCTTTGATTATGCAGCTCTACTTTTGATTATTCTTTTATTTGCACTGACGGTCATTTCGAAAGGGCCAGTGGACTGACGGTGGAAACGATAAGATTGAGGATAAGTATTAAATCGAATTCATAATATTATATGATAAACAGCATTTTCCTTTTGTCAAAATTCGTAATCCGGGCCAGATCTCAGTCCATTTGAATGGGCTAAGTTGGGTCAAAAGTCTTCCGACTGGCAAATGCGCCAAGCTTGGAGTTTTCTCCGTCTGGTCATGTTGTGTTAGCTAGCTTGATATTTATTTCGTAACCCGGATTCTGGTTCTCGTTACACAAAGCAAATATGAGAGAGGGCATAAACCATCCGGGTCGAGCCGGCGTGCCGATCGCCGGCTTAGCTGTTAGTTTATTGACAACGTGCCTGTTGTAAGTAGCGGCGTTTGTAAATGTTGGCTCCGATTTGATCGATATCACCGCCATCGGCCAACCCGTTTCCGTATAAAGATCCCAATATCCGGGTACCCGAGGCTTTTCATTGCGAAGACAACAGAGTCAACCATCTGGTCAAACAGATTAGTGTAGGTTAATTTGGAAACCGGGTCGGTGTATTTTACGTTTCGGGACTCAGAGAGCGTATTCGAGGTTACTGTTTTTGGGATCCGCTACCCAAGCGAAATAAGGCTAAACATCATAGATGTAAAAAGATTTGGTCCGGCTTAAAAACTGTAACAGTGGTTTAACAATCGGATCGGCAATGTCAGAACGGAAAGTGCCTTTCGAAGGTCGTGATAACGGTTCCAAGACATCTATTGCAATCGAGGTAGACACTTTGATTCTGTTGAGTCTGTGTGTTTTTAACGAGTTTTGGATTTTACGCGTGGCGGGTACGATTCTGGGCCAGATTTCTTTAGGGGAACCGCTGATGACTTCGTTACCGACAAGGAGGTATCGGATTTTGGTTTTGGGGTAAAAAGGGACGACGTTGGACTGGACCCAAGAATCGGCTAGCTTTTGACTGTTGGAGATGTTGATTATGAGTTCGTTTGGGACCATCATCGTGACTTCAATGTTCGTGTCTTTGAAAGCATCGAGGATGTCTGGATTTGCATCGTAGATTTTGATATGTGTGGCTCCGAGAGACTGGACTAGCTTCACGGATGGCAGATTGTTCCCAAGCTGACCGTAGTTTACTCCCACGGAGTTTGAGCTCTCCCTACCTGAAAGACCAAAAATATCAAATCAGTTTTAAACAATCCCGACATCAACCAAAAATGACTACTATTATTTCTGGGTTTAAGAATCGATCGAGCTTACTCGAGGCGGAAAGGAAAAGTAAGAGGAAGAAGACCCGTATTCAATGCTCTGTTAAGACAATGCAGAAACAGAGCAGAAGAAAGGTCAGCACAAGAAAGATTGGACCTTTAATCAGTAAGCTAATACTTGCTCAATAAGCATGTGATTTATAGAGAGATGAACCCCAGGCAATGAACGTGGAAATATTATAAAATAATGTCAAAAACAATTTTTCCATAATAATACTTGAATAATAGAGTTAATTGCATCATATGTCTCCAAACTATATCTCTCATTATAAATTGATCCTTAAACTTTTAAATATTTTAATTTCATCCCCAAACCATGACTCTCATTCTAAATTAGTCTTTTCACTTTTGAACATTATATTTCCATCCAAAAACTATGATTCTCTTTCTAAATTAGTCCCCAAATTTTTTAATATTCTAGTTTTATCTTCAAATTCATCAAATATGTAATTAGTTTCAACCATAGTTTAACCTAAATTTTATTTTCCAAAAATGCAATAACATAACTTGGCCTAATGATTTTATTAACAAGGGATGTGATTAGTATATGCGTATAGTTTGGGATAAAATTGAAATATTCAAAAAAATTGGACCAATTTAGAATGAAGGTCATAATTTTGAGATGAAATTGAAATGTTCAAAAGTTTTTAGTACTAATTTAGAATGGTAGTCATAGTTTAGGAATGAAATTGAAATATTTAAAAATTTAGGGACTAATTTAAAATAAAGGTCATATTTTAAGGACATGTGATACAATTAACTCTAGTATTATATACCAAAATGATTTTTTTTAAGAGCGTCACCTAAAACCGAAGCATTTAAAGATTAAAATTATCATTTTAGTATAATTTAGCCAAGGATAAAAGAGAAGGAAGTGATGAGTGATGAAGTGGGGATTCCCTTAGGTGAACGGGATAATCTTATTTATTGGTGGAGTAATGTGTAAGGGAATAGAAAATCGCAAATAAGCCATGGAAGGTAGGGTGGGTGAATTCACGAGATAATGTTCTCGATTTTTTTTATTCACGATATAATGCACATTTCAGATTAATTGCTGGTATGGGGTGAATTCTACAGTGAACTCGTAGGACGCCATGCAATCCAGGCGACCTTGTAGGACGCCATGCAATCCAGGCGACATACGGGAGACATACGAGTGATATACGAGCCATACAAGCCATATACTCACCATGCAGACGAGCCATACCCATGCAGACGAGCCATGCAAGCCATATACTCACCATGCAGACGAGCCAGCCAACGGAGAGGTCGCCATGCAAACGAGCCAGCCAATAGAGAGGTCGCCATGCAGTCTGGGCGACCTTGTAGGTCGCCATGTAGTCCCGGCGACCTTGTAGGTCGCCATGTAGTCCCGGCGACCTTGTAGGTCGCCCCGGCGTCCACTGCCTCCCGAGACCATGCATGCACATGCAGCCAAATAACTTCACGTGCTCCTGCTCCCGCTGCATGCCTGCATGCATGCCAAGATAACTTCACGTGCTCCTGCTCCCCGCTGCATGCCTACAGCATGCCATGTGATCCTAGCTCACGAGACGAGACCATGCTTGAACAATAATTGAACCATTGTTGGTGAAATAATTGAGGCAGCCGGTTATATATGGGGTGTGCAAATTGCAAGAAGAAAGATCACACATAAAAGAAAGAAAGAAAGGGAGAAGAGATTCAGCCGAGAAAGAAAGAAAGGGAGAAAGAAAGGAAAGTAAGAAGAAGAAAGGGAGATAAGGTAAATTTGTTTATATTTAAATTAGTTTATTATTATAAATGTTAATTAGTTTATTAGTTTAGGGTTATATGATTGTTAGTTTAAGTTATAGTATACATAAATTAAAAATTATTTAATTAGTATATGTTTGATAGTTATATAGTTAAAAATAATTAATAGTTTGTTTTTGTTAATAGTTAGTTATATAAAAAAATTATTTAATTAGTTTTGTTAGTTAAATAGTTAAGTTATATTTGTTTGTTGAATATATATTATATAAAAATTAGTTAGTTTATTAGTTAGTTTTAGTTAGTAAGTTTATTAGTAGTATATTATAATGAAAAAATAGTTTATTAGTTAGTTTTAGTTATATAAAAATATTTTATTAGTTGTTTAAGGGTTTGGTGTTTACGTTTATATTTTAAAAAGTTTAGTTTGTTAGTTTATTAGTTTATTATATTATAAGTTATTATATTAAAGTTTAGTGTTGTAAATTAGTTAGTTAGTTTATATTAGATTATATTAAATGATTTTTTAAATATTGTTGTTTAATTTTTTTACAGATTCATTCCAATGGCTGACCAAATTCCACTGTTGAGGCTTGACAATGAACATATTTCAAGTCATTTGGGAATAATGGTGAATAAAATATTTGTTTAATGAATTATAATTAATAAATATTTGAATATTATTTTATGATTGTGATAATTTTTTTGAAATATTTAATTGTAGGAGGACGAGCAGCGAGTCCTTCGTCTTCGACTACATAAAGTGCCCAAGCCACACCCACTAATAGAAGAAAATTTGCAAGAGGCTGGATTTTGGTATGTCACATTTGTGCGAGATTACAAGTTGGTCCCAGGTTTGATCAGTGCGTTGATTGAACGCTGGAGACCAGAAACGCACACGTTTCATTTGCCGTGTGGCGAATGCACGATAACTTTGGAGGATGTGGCAATGCAACTCGGGGTCCAAACTAATGGGATGCCGGTGGTAATGTCACATGAGTTTAATAAGGTGGAACAACTTTGCAACTTGTTTCTTGGGAAAGCGCCCGTACCACCAGAGTGTAAAGGGTGGCGGGTGAGGTGTCATGGTTGAAGAATGAATTTCAACTTCAATCAAATAGTACGGAGCACGAAATTATATATGCAACACGAGCATATATATTACAATTGATTGGGGGAATTTTGATGCCTGATAAATCCGGTAGTTATGTTCACACTCAGTATCTTTTTTTTAACAAATTTTGAGAATTGTAGGCAATATAGCTGGGTTCGGCGATATTGGCGTTCTTGTATCGTGAGATGTGCAAGGCGTCATTAGTCGTGAATGATAATAATACAGTAGAATCGGTGGATGTCTGTTGTCTACAATCATGGGCTTGGCATAGACTTCCGTTTCTGACACCGATTAGTCGGACTGCGGTTGACTTTCCACTTGCCGGACGGTAATATGAATCCTCTATTTTAATATAAAATATTAAT